CAAAGGGAAAATCGAGTGACTCTACTCCACCAGAAAAAGAAGGAAAGAAACTCGATTCCATGTGAAGGAAGTTTTATACACTGGGAGCAATGGGCATAAAAACATCCAATTATGCAGCATGTATGGGTCGCTACCAGTTTAATCTCTGGAAGCATATGTCAGAACTCTTCTCCCACCTTCCTAGAGAATTCTTCTCTCAAGCAAAGAAAATTCAAAATGAGGGTATGACCCTCGCTAAACATCAAATTAGTGCTGCAGAACACAATCTAGAGTCCGCTGGCAAAACTCTCGCTACTTCCGTTGCTTTACGTAGGCACGCTTGGTTGCGCTCTTCATCACTACCATACGATACTAGGTCTACGGTGGAAGACCTTCCTTTTGAGGGTACTGGGTTGTTTTGTTCCACCACTGACCCTGTTTTGCAAGAACTGGACAAAAGTATTAAGACATCTAAAAGTCTGGGGATCTCTCCTTCCTCAAAATATAACAAGCCTAAACAGTGGTCTAGGCGGTCGTGGTCGCACAGACAGTCTTATAACAAATCTCCTACTGAACAGTGGCAGAGACCACAGAATACCCAGTCTCGTCCTTTTGGGAACAAGGCAAGAGTCTCTCCTTCTGGACAATAATAACAAAAGGCACAAAAAATTTCTAAACAGGACCTTTGACTCCGTTCCCACGATAACTACACGTCTTGTGCCATTCCTCGATGCGTGGCTAAAGATTTCAACGGACAAGTGGGTCCACTCTGTCGTAAAAGAAGGTTGTCTCATAGAGTTTTCCCAGATCCCTTCTTTCGCCCATTTCACTCCAACTCAGGCATCACAAGTTTTGCTCAAGGAAGTCCAGTCCCTCACAACAAAAGACGCCATAGAACCAGTTCCGACATCAGAGCATGGCCAAGGTTTCTACTCTCAGTACTTCACGGTCCTGAAGAAGGACGGAGGCCTCCGTCCAATCATGGACCTCAGATACCTCAACCAGTTCATCATTTACAAAAAGTTTTGAATGACCACTCTCCAAAACATTCTACCGTTACTGTCACCGGGAGCTTGGATGGTCACCCTGGATTTGAAGGATCCCTACTTCCATGTGTCAATCCATCCATGTCACAGGCGCTTCCTCGGGTTCATTGTAGGGGAATCCCATTATCAATTCAAGGCTCTTCTCTTTGGGCTTTCCACCACCCCCAGGGTTTTTACGAAGGTGATGGTTGTTATTGTAGCGCATCTACGCCTCCAGGGAATTAAAGTATTCCCATATATAGATGATTGGTTACTGGTTGCGGAATCCAAGGAGGTCCTCCTTCGCCACATCAGTCTTACCTTGGATACTCTCGCATCTCTGGGAGTTCTCGTGAACCTGCAGAAGTCAATGCTCCAGCCTGCGACTCGTGTGCAGTTCATAGGAGCCATCATAGATTCTATAGATACTCGAGCCTACCTACCCCGTCAGAGGGCAGAATCGATCTGCCACGAAATTCATCTGCTGTTTCGTTCCAACATGACCTCTGTGGTTCGCATTCAGAGATTGCTGGGACTCATGGCGGCCACCACATCGGTGATCGCGTGTGCGCATCTCCGCATGCATCCGTTACAGCTATGGTTCCTAAGGAAGTTCCGTCCACAGATTCATTCTCCAAAAATGCTCATGTCAGTTCCTCCACAAGTCCTCCATTCTCTCCGATGGTGGCTATCCGAAACCAGTCTGTTGCAGGAGCTCCATTCCAACTTCCTATTCCCTTGGTGTTGATCACCACGGACGCCTCACTGTGGGGTTGGGGTGCTCACACGGACAATGTGTGGGTGCACAATGGGACAGTCGTCGGAAGAATCACCATATCAACTACCTGGAGCTTTTGGCAGTGCACTATGCCCTCTGATCTTTTCACCGGGCAGTGGAGGGGAAGGCAGTTATGATTTTTACAGACAATACGACCACAATGTCTTACATCAATCATCAAGGAGGAACCATGTTCAGAGCGCTTTGCCGCCTGGCCCTAAGCATCTGGGAGGACTGTCTCCAGTGGAACTCGGTTATACAGGCTGCCCATCTGCCAGGAGTCATGAACATTCAGGCAGACTTTTTAAGCAGAGGAGGAGCAACAGACCACGAGTGGGAACTCAATTGGGAGTATCTTTCACCCGTTTTCAATCAACTGGGCCATCCAGAAGTAGATGTCTTCGCAAGTTGTCAAAATGCGAAGTGTCGCCTGTTCTGCTCCAGGGCGGGGTTGGATCCTCTGTCTCTAGGGGACGGTCTACTGATCTCGTGGACACATCACTTTGTGTTTCTGTTTCCTCCACTCCCGCTTATTCACAAGGTCCTTGTCAAGATACAGCAGGACAAACCTCATTGTCTATTGGTAACTCCATGGTGGCCTTGTCAGCATTGGTTCCCCATACTACTCCGTCTGTCTAAGGGCTCCTTCATTCACTTTCCCCGGGTGCTGGATCTTCTGCTAACCCAAGAGGGTCAGATCCTCCATCACAATCCCCTGAGCCTCAAGTTAACAGTGTGGGAAATACACTTTCCGTAATGGATAAAAGAATTGATAACATTCTGCTAAATTGTCGTAAACTGTCCACAAGGACATCTTATGATAGAAAGTGGACTAAATTTCTGGAGTATTTGTCGGGTTTTAAATTGCTTCCGCCCCTGTCTGATTTGAGGTCAATTTTCGGTTTCATTCTGTCCAGATTGGATTTGGGACTCAGTTTTTCGTCAGTGAAAGTTTATTTGGCTGCGGTGTCAGCGAACCATCCGTCTATAGATGGGTTTTCAGTTTTTTCTCATCCACAAACCAAGAAGGTTTGTAAGGGTCTTACACGTCTGTACCCTCCTCGTCGTGATCTTACCCCGGCTTGGGACTTGGCGCTGGTCCTTAAACTTTTGACAGGTAAGCCTTTTGAGCCTCTGGCTACCTGCAGTTTGAAGTTACTGTCGTTAAAGACTGCGTTTTTGGTGGCCATTACATCTGCTCGCAGAGTGAGTGAGTTGTCTGCACTTCGATGTGACTATCCGTATTTGAGTTTTCCCCCTCATGGGGTCTTGTTGGCTTTGGACATTTCATTTTTGCCTAAAGTTGTGTCTGAGTTTCATTTGCGTTCTGATATAGTTCTCCCTACATTTTTTCCATCTCCCTCCAGTGAGGAAGAACACAGATTGCACTCTCTGGACGTTAAGAGAGCGCTCTTGTTTTATCTGGGAAGGTCCAAACCCTTCCGTAAGTCTCCAGCACTGTTTTTAGCTCATCGTTTGCCTTCCCAAGGGAAGAAAATTTCCTCACAATGTTTATCCAAGTGGATTGTGGAGGTTATAAAGCTGTGTTATGATCTGGTGCGGAAGCCGCTCCCGGGACAGCTTTGGGCTCATTCCACATGGGCAGTGGCGACGTCCACAGCTTTTCTGCGAGGTGCATCATTAGAGGACATCTGTAACGTTGCGACGTGGGCTACTCCTCTCACCTTCGTGAAGCACTACGCCCTTGACACACGTTTCAGTCATCGTACGGCAGTGGGTTGAGCGGTGTTGCAGTCAGCACAGATGTAGGGCCTTGGCCCCTCCTCCAGGTAAGCGTTTACTGCTTGCTAATCTCCCAAGGGTGTGATGCACAGAGACCATGAAGAAGATAGGCAGGTTGCTTACCTGTAACTGGTGATCTTCGAGTGGTCATCTG